GCCCACTGTCTGTAATTTTTTGTGTTTAGTATGAATTAGGAATCAAGATTTTTTTCGCCATGTGGATGTTCTAGTTATTACATCACCATTTGTTGAAAAATCTTTCATTCTCCAATGTTTTATTTCAGCATCTTTGTCTAGAATCAAGTGACTGTATAAGTTAATAGATATTTTATTATTGTATTAATACTTTCTGTTTTATCTGGTTTTACATTTGGTAAGTGGTATTTTCAAAGAAATTTGTCTATTTTATCAAATTGTCAAATTTGTTCACATAATGTTGTGCAAAGTATTCCCTTATACTCCTTTTTATGCCTATAGGTTGTATAGGGATTTCTTTTTTTTTTTTTAAAGATTATAAAAATGCATACACATTTATATGTATGTATTTTTCTCCTCTAGGGTAAATGCCTAGGAATAGAATTGATGATTTGAGTATGCATGATAAACTACCAGTCTTTTCCCCAAAGTTCTATTTTACACTTCATTCTGTAGTGTATGAGAATTCTAATTGTTCCACATCCTCACCAACATTTTTATTATCAGTCTTAATTTTACCCATTCGGGTGTGTGTACAGTGGTTTTCCTATGGTATTAATTTACATTTCCCAGGTGACTAATGATGTTCAATACTTTTTCATGTGCTTATTGGTTATTAGTATATCTTTCTTTTTGAAGTTTTGTTCAGATCTTTTGCCCATTTATTTTTCAATTGGATTATTTGTCTTTTTATTATTGAATTGGAGGAGTTGTTTATATATTCTGGGAACAACCCTTTGTCAGATATTCTTTTTCCATATTTCCTCTCAGTCTGTGGCTTGCCTGTTCATTTTCTTAATAGTGTATTTTGATGGGAAGATTTCTATTTTGATGAAGTCTGATTTACCGATTATTTTTATGGTTATTCATTTCTGTGTCCTGAGAAATCTTTGTTCTGCCTTCAGTCATAAAGCTGTTCTCCTGTTTTCCTCTAGCACCTTTATAATTTTTGCTTTCACCTTTGATCTATCTCTAATTTTTTTTAAAAGATTTTATTTATTCATGAGAGACAGAGAGAGAGAAAGAGAGAAGCAGAGGGAGAAGCAGGCTCCCCGCTGAGCAGGGAGCCCGATGAGGGGCTCGATCCCAGGACCCTGGGACCATGACCTGAGCCGAAGGCAGACGCTTAACGACTGAGCCACCCAGGCGCCCTGTATAGGGATATTTCTTTCCTCTTCATTCCTGATATTGATACTTGTATTCTCTTTTTCTTGATTAATAAAGCTAGACTTTATAATTTTGTTAATCGTTTCAAAGAACCAACTTTTCACTTAG